CACACTCAAAGGTGCCCAAACAATTTATCAAGGGCAATAGTATCAGCAGTTATATTAAGGATTTTATTAAATAATTGGATAATGGCAATTAAAACACGTTTAAACATTTGTCCTTCTTGCTAGTGTATCACAATCTATAACATACCCCTTCTCCCTTTCTTTCTCTCTCTCTCTCTCTCTCTCTCTCTCTATCTCTCGTTCTTTCTTTATCCCTCTCTCTCTTTTGGGGGAAACCTGATCGAAATATTTTGTTACAATATAATATGCCGATGTATGATTTCCTTTCACCCAATTTGTTTCCTTCCATCTAATAAAAGAAGTCACCTCCTCTTCTCACACTCAACCGAACACTGTCTTGATGTGAGACTCCAAACTGTCAAAACTTCTGCACGGGCGATCTTCTGACCCTGCCTGACATAGCTTGACTGCATGGTCAAATCGATGAGACTTCGACATGACAGACAGGGTCATTTAAAACACCTTAAGTTGATTTTTTGTTCTCGAAAGTCTTTCCGACCGTTTTATTGTGTTTATGAGGAGATAACTTATTAAATAAATGATTGCTTTTTTTAGTAATATACACTGCCCAGAAAGATTCAAGTTATAACAATAATGTGGGTACTGTAGTTGTATTACCTGGGAAATAGTACCATGTGGTCTCGAGTAACTATGTTTGCCCTATATATCTCCATCATCTCTGAAGATGAGTTAAAGATTTTCAATATTTATATCATTTTGTGTTTTACAAACCCCTTTCTAAATACGCCTGTTAGAACCTAAATACATTGCATTGACAAATTATTAATTGAAATTGGTTGGGCCTCTGGTAACCCTGGTAACGTAATCATGCTGATACCGTCTTAGTTTCTCCCCAATAGTACATCATTTTAATGGGGTTGCTTGTGTAAATAAAAAGAAAAATCGTTATGTCGTATATCAAATAAATTGAGTCTCTTTTTGTATGAGAGTCTGTGTGATTGTGTTAACCGTGTGGGGAGTAACAAAGAAGGAAAATCAAGATAGAAAGATAGATAAACACAGAGAAAGAATCATAACCACATTAATACAAATGATGTGTCGTCATTCATTTTGATTACGCAAAATCTGGGGAACGTCTTTAAACGTCTTTAGTATTAAACAAACATGTTGATACACATTAATTATGGAAAATACGAGTTTACTTGTCCCATTAATGTACCTTTAGTTAGTTCCCTTACATAATTCTCCCCAGCTCCCCCCCCCCCCCCCCCCCGTCTTGAACTGTGTGTCTCTTTTAGTCTCTTCTCCTTTTGCCTTTTGCCTTTATTTCTACCATCGTCTTTCTGGTTCTTGTTCTCCTCTCTCTAAGACCCAGTATATTCTATGTGTTCGTCAATTGCTCTCTCTCTCTCTCTCTCTCTCTCTCTCCCCTCTCTCTCTCTTTCTTTATCTCTATCTCTCTCTCTCTCTATCTCACTCTCTCTCTCTCTCTCTCCCTCTCTCCTCTCTCTTTCTCTCTCTCTCTCTCTCTCTCTCTCTATCTCACTCGCTTTGTCTGTCTGTCTGTCTCTCTACATGCTTCTATCTTCCTTTCTCTGTGTTTATCTATTTATCTATCTTCATTTTCCTTCTTTGTTACTCCCCGCACGGTTAACACCATCACGCAGACTCTCGTACAAAAATAGACTCAATTTATTTGATATACATCATAACGATTTCTCTTTTTATTTACACATTGAACCCCATTAAAATGTTGTACTATTGGGGAGAAACAAAGACGGTATCAACATGATTACATTACCAGGGTTACCAGAGGCCCAACAAATTTCAACTCATAATTTGACAATGCAATGTTGTTGTTGTTGTTGTTTTGTTGTTTTTGTCAATGCAATGTATTTAGGTTCTAACAGGCGTATTTAGAAAAGGGTTCGTGTTCGTCAATTGCTCTCTCTCTCTCTCTCTCTCTCTCTCTCTATCTCACTCGCTTTGTCTGTCTGTCTGCCTGTCTCTCTACATGCTTCTATCTTCCTTTCTCTGTGTTTATCTATTTATCTATCTTCATTTTCCTTCTTTGTTACTCCCCGCACGGTTAACACCATCACGCAGACTCTCGTACAAAAATAGACTCATTTTATTTGATATACATCATAACGATTTCTCTTTTTATTTACACATTGAACCCCATTAAAATGTTGTACTATTGGGGAGAAACAAAGACGGTATCAACATGATTACATTACCAGGGTTACCAGAGGCCCAACAAATTTCAACTCATAATTTGACAATGCAATGTTGTTGTTGTTGTTGTTTTGTTGTTTTTGTCAATGCAATGTATTTAGGTTCTAACAGGCGTATTTAGAAAAGGGTTCGTGTTCGTCAATTGCTCTCTCTCTCTCTCTCTCTCTCTCTCTCTATCTCACTCGCTTTGTCTGTCTGCCTGTCTCTCTACATGCTTCTATCTTCCTTTCTCTGTGTTTATCTATTTATCTATCTTCATTTTCCTTCTTTGTTACTCCCCGCACGGTTAACACCATCACGCAGACTCTCGTACAAAAATAGACTCATTTTATTTGATATACATCATAACGATTTCTCTTTTTATTTACACATTGAACCCCATTGTTGTACTATTGGGGAGAAACAAAGACGGTATCAGCATGATTACGTTACCAGGGTTACCAGAGGCCTAACAAATTTCAACTCATAATTTGTCAATGCAATGTTGTTGTTGTTTTTGTTTTTTGTCAATGCAATGTTTTAAGGTTCTAACAGGCGTATTTAGAAAGGGGTTTGTAAAACACAAAAATGATACAAATATTGAAAAACTTCAACTCATCTTCAATGATGTGGGAGATATATAGGACAAACATACTATAGAGACCACTTAGTACTATTTCCCAGGTAGTAGAACTACAATACCCACATCATTTTTATAACTTAAATCTTTCTAGGCAGTGTATATTTTAAAGGCTATACACAGTAAAAACGCTGCTTAAAAAAGTGATGTTCACTTACAATTGTACACTATCTTAAACAACAGTTGAACAAATTGTAAACAATGTTGCTCGAAACGAAAGTAATTTTGTTAAACATTCGCTGTTTAAAATTTAATGACTGCTATATTACTATACGAGAGCTTTTAGACAGTGTTGTTTACATATGACGTCATGTGTCTCGTGCCAGTAAAGTGCGCGTTGGCTAAAAGCTTTATTTCACATTGTTATGTTTAGAAACAGGTTCCTTGAAACTAACATGCAATTGAAATTAACATGCCACTTAGAAATGCAGTGCAGCTGTTTAGGCACAGCTCATTGTTATTCATATTAGATGCATACACACAATGCAAGTGTATGCAAGGGTCTTCTGTTGACTACACAGATTGATACATATGTAAAAGCACATGGATATTGGGTCTGGATTAAACTACCAAAGCAACCACACGTGTTTCTGCAGGCTCCAATTTGTTTGTCTCTATACTTACATTTATTTAGCTTAATAGTTATTACTTTCCAACCCACAACACAACACACATCATGGCCGACCAAGCTACCGACGCGCTTCTAAGTGACTGGGGATTCAATGGCTTAATTGAAATCACTTTTCTATTAACCAATTTGAAGTTTTTAACTAATAGCGTAAGTACACAGTTAGAATTTTCAGTATCTGTACGCAAATGTCAGAATATAGGTAGACTTAAAATCGTCGCGTCATGCAGTGCGGCACTGATCGCGCACTCGGTTATAACGTGTGCTAAATTCCTTGCCATAGAGATTGCATGCATCCCTATATAATGCAGTTTATACGTGCGTGCATGCGCGCTCATGCAAAATGGGCACTGTTTTGGCGCTAATTCATGAATTGCAGAATTACCATATTGTTGGTCTTCATATACCTATAATATAGAGACCCAGAAGTAGTGGTGCACTTATTCAGAGTATCAAACCCAATTATACGCCATTATACAACCCTTTTGTTGTAAACAACCCCCACTGAACAACAGCTCCTTTTTAAACAACTTTCTTTAAACAACCCAGTTGGTGTAAACAACCCCCACTGAACAACAGCTCCTTTTTAAACAACTTTCTTTAAACAACCCAGTTGGTGTAAACAACCCCCACTGAACAACAGCTCCTTTTTAAACAACTTTCTTTAAACAACCCAGTTGGTGTAAACAACCCCCACTGAACAACAGCTCCTTTTTAAACAACTTTCTTTAAACAACCCAGTTGGTGTAAACAACCCCCACTGAACAACAGCTCCTTTTTAAACAACTTTCTTTAAACAACCCAGTTGGTGTAAACAACCCCCACTGAACAACAGCTCCATTTTAAACAACCGTCTTTAAACAACACCAGTTGTTTAAATTGTGATTTTAAACAAGTTGTTCAAATGTTGATCAACTAAGTGTTTAACTCGAGATGCTTAACATTTTAAACAACTTTCAGATCAGGTCACCCGTTAATCAAGAGTTGTTTAAACTTTTAAACAACTTGTTCACAAAATTTTTAACTGTGTACTTTTAAAAAAGGCGATCATTTACTTAATAAGTTATCTCTTCATAAACACAATAAAAACGGTCGCAAAGGCTTTCGAGAAAAAAAATAAACTTAAGGTATTTTAAATGGCCTTTTCTATAATCATTTAAAATGTGGGAACATTAAAACAAAACCACAGTATTCGATGGGACATATGTGATAAGGTTTTATAAATTTCCCGCGAATTTGATTTTTGAGGTTAGTTGCAATCGTATTACGTCATCAAAGTATTATACAATATACAGTGATTCTCTAGAAAGCGTCATCGTCAACTAATTCAGAATTTTGCGAATTGACGAGCACATTTTTGCTGTAGGCCTATTTAGCTTACACAATTTGGAATTTTATAGTTACTGTAGAAGAAATAGTTTTTTTTAAATTAAAAAAAAACCCAAAATGTGATGTTGTCCAAACACACCTTTTTGGGAGCTGTAGCTGATTCTAAATCTCTGCGAAAGACAAAGGCCACCTATTTACGTTTTAAAAAAATGATTGCGAAATTCAGTTTGATTGTCTTCATCGTAAGTCCTCCACAAAATGAATGGAAGCGTAGGAGTCCTGTCGAGGGCCATAACCCCTGCCGTTTTCCTCATAAATGTGATAAAACTTTAAAAACCTGGTCGCATCCTCGTAACCGTCCGCAAAATACGTCTCGAGATACGCCTTCGGAGGCGGGTAGAGGCCGTCACCGATGCGATACATCTGCAGCGCGCTAATGTCGAACCGTTGCCCTGTCGTGTCGACCCAGCCGCACGCGATCTTGTCGCGCATGTTCAGACGGTTCTTCGGACTCGGTGAGATCTTGATCAGACTTCCGGGTGGGAACTGGAAGGTCACATCGCCAGAGAGGTTCTCCTTCCGGGACAAAGTGACGTCCCCAAAGAACTGCATGTTTGAAATAGTAAATAAAGATCATATTAATGAACAATATCAGAGGCGTACGCAGGGGGGGGGGGGGGGGGGGGGTTTGGGGGTTCAAACCCCCCCCCCCTTTGGTATTTTTATGTGTGTAAACCCCCCCCCCCAAAAAAAAAAAAAAAAAAAAAACTAACCCCCCCCCCCCTGTTTTTTGTTTTGTTTTGTTTTTTGTTAAATTAAAAAAAAAAAAAAAAAAAAAAAAAAAAAAATTATGCCCACGGCTAACGTAAAGTGACCTTACCCCCCTCCCCCCCTCAACGAAAAAAATGTCAAATTTTCAAATTTCGAGACCAAAAAAAAAAAAAAAAAGTGTCCGCTTACCCCCCCCCCCCCCCCCCCCCCCCCCCCCCCCCCCCCCACTGAGCGACTTTTCGGTTGGCTGAGTCTTTGCGATTTTTTTTGGACTATCAAAAAAAGTGTCCCGCTTACCCCCCCCCCCCCCCCCCCCTACTGAGCGACTTTTCAAATTTTCGGGAGCAAAATATTTTGGGCCAGATTTTAACCCCCCCCCCCCCCCCCTTGAAAAAATCCTGCGTACGCCCCTGAACAATATATATATTTTGTTTAAATAATTCTTTCTAAATCAATTTTGTTTGTAAATAATAATGATCGCAAGGCTTAAAAAAATTCATCTCAGGCAATATAGCACTGTGCGTTACTTTGGAAATACATTACAATAACATCTTCTATGTGCAATACCGTATTGAAATTGCCCTCGAGCTAATTTTTCCTGTCACACTAACAGTATTTGTTACCGGGTAAATGCCCAAGGGCTTACTCCGTTCTATTGGGTCTTCGAGTCGGGTTTTCGGGTTATACGAACTTCCATGAAAACATCCCCCAATATTAATTCACGAAAGATCGATAAATGGAATGCAAATGATCTCTTTTATCCAAGATTGGCTAGTCTTTTTTAAATGTACATTATTTTGTGAAAATGGGCCTAAAATATTTCATCGTCGTCGTCGTCGTTTGGATCCAAAGAAGAGGTTGTATTACTCTTTATAAAGTGGACATGATCCACTCTTTTGAGCGTAGATTTCCACTCGATAATGAGGTTATTATCATTGTTAATATTATTATTATTACTATTATCATTACTAATATTGTTTTTGTTATTATTATTAAAAAGTTGATTTCCACTCCTGTGCATTTTGAGATTGAGAAAAATCAATCCTACCTTTCCATTGCATGAGGGCGGTGTCCACGTCGTGAACCAAGGGACAAAGACGCTGCCCAGGATAACCTACGTCACAATGATACCAATATAGATCAAAGAAAACGAACATCAACATTTTATTTAATATCAAAGTGTTATGATCAAGGGTTCCATAAGTTATTAATGTACTTCATGGTTGAGATGCTCAATGATTAATGAACTTTTCATTATTTTTTCATATTATGATCATTTCTCGCATTACAATCATCTTTATCATCATCATCATCATCATCATCATCATCAACATTATCGCCATCAACAACAAAATCCATCATCATTATCCTTATATTTCACAATTTACTTGTTAGTCCATTCTGATTAATAAGTATGTCTATTCCATAAGTTATTTCGGGGTGTCATATTTTCAAGCCTGAATTTGTTTACAACGGCAGTTAGTTTTCGGCAAATAATTTGACGAAATTTGATGAAAATATGTTAAATTGACAGGTTTTAAAGAAGGGAAGAGCTAAAAGAGGACAAGAGCTATAATAGGACAAAAGAGGGATAAAAGCTACGTAGAGATCTATGGGTACTGGAAGAGTCAGAATGGGTGAAAAAATGATGTTAGGCGATTTCAAGGAGATTAAGAGTTTTATAAAATAAAAAGATGAATTCTTCACCTCGATGAGCTCCTCTCGACTACCATAGCTTGAAATCTGAACCTCGGCACCCAAGCTCCAAGCCCGATCACCGACCTCGAATACTTTTGGTCCCTTCGACCTCACGCACGAGCTCGTCCCCTGATCGACGTCATGCACCGTCAGCGCGTCGTACTTATCAACCAATCGCAGTTCGGTAGCTTTGATGAATAATTTATGAGATGCTAATTGGTGCGCTGTCATTGGTAGGAGCCGGTCGAGGAGCACGCGGAGCCGACCAATGAAATCAAATCCCGGAGTGATGGCGCCATTTGGGAGGGGCGACATCTCGTCGACGATATCGTAGAGGCCATAGAGTAAATCCTAAGTAAGGAGACAATTTAATAAGTAAATAAAAGTTGAAAGTTGCGATGGATATTAGATCCAGTGAAAGTAAAATTTCTTAATATCTTTGCAATCATGTTGTTTTCTTTTATCCTTTTATGTATATTCTAAGATGATACGTATCTGCAAAAGTAAACAAATCCTCAATAATAACATGGTGTTCCTAGTCTTTATATCTCAAATTTATATAAGCCTACACCAGCCAATCAAATATATCAAATGAGCAATTCACTGTAAAATCATTTCCTTTATTAAAAAGCCTTACTTCGCTCGCAATAATCAGCGTTTAGAATCTAAACAAATGCAAAATATATCGATATAATAATATTGAGCAAGTCACGTTTTGTAAAATCAATTTCTGTAACTGAATGCACCCCCATTAACATACACACACAGTTCCCCAATACCAAAAGGCTTCCTAGAGAATCTCCATTTCTTAAAGTGGCGGACAGAGTTTTCTGGCGGGGGGGGGGGGGGGGCGCACAAGTCCGAACATTCTGTGACAAACCAAAAGATACACAAAAGAAGAAGAAAAAAAGGGGGAGAAGGGAAGAAAGAAAGAAAAAAGAATGAACGAAAAAACGGAGACGAAAAAAAAGGTTTTAAAAAGGGGGAAATCAGGTTCTCGGTGTGCCTTATTGCTTTTTAGCCGGAGGGGGGGGGGGGGGGGGAGGGTGCAATCAGTGTCGCCCACGGATCTGTTACACTGCTTTAAATTTACCGCTAATTTTTCAGGAGCCGTTGCTATGATAGCAGCGATGATGGCACTGGAGGATGAGCCGCCTATCGCCTGCATCTGGGAGAGGACTACGGTCCCGTGATCGAGGAGGCATTGCGCCACACCGAGGTTGCTCAGTCCGAAGAACGACGCCTCGGTGAACGACAGGTTGAAGGGAGGAGACACATGTGACGTCATAATGGGTTGGGTGTACCTGACAAGGAGATGTTGAGACAGGAAAACATTAACAACCAGTACATTAATTTATAAATATAATAACTATATACATTATGTATAAGAAGACGATAGCGAAAAATGTGACTGCTATCATGGCTATCTATATCATTTATTATCATTATCAATATTATTAATATTATTAACATTATTATTACTAGATAAGTATTATTATTAATATTATCATTCATTATTGTTATAATCATCACCATCATTATTAATTTTTAGGCTTTTAGAAGTAATAGTAGTAGCAGTATTTGAAGTTGTAGAAGTTGTTGTAGTCTTAGTATATTTAGTAGTAGTAGTAGTAGTAGTAGTAGTAGTCAGAAGTATGTGTATATTAGTATTAGAACAACAACATTATTTGGTGTTTACAAGGCGTACTATTACCTTGTAAGCCAATCATTAAAGTACTATCACAAAACAACATTTCCTTGCGAAAAGCATCACGCCGATAAAAACCCATTCAAAAGTATACGATTCCGATCAATAATATCGATCATGACTGTGATGATACACGGCTTTTAAAGTGTTGTTAAGTGCGATGACTCTTGTATTGAAATACGTGTATTGTCCTGAGTTTGAGGCTAGATATCCCCCGCAGAGTCTGAGTTACTGGTATTGTAATGTGATCCAGAGATCTCCCTGTGCAGATTTAAACCTACAATAAAATTATATCTTTACCGACTCTGGAAAATATTTTGATATAAAATCATCATGTTCCCCATCATATTTTTGCAGGTCTAAACATTGTGATTAATTCGGCGGCCTCCTGCGAATTAATTTCAATCCGACTGGCTAACTTAACATCCAATCATCCCAAACCGATGTTGAAAAAGTTTCATAAAGTGTAGAACCCCGCCTTAAAAGTTTGTTTACAAAATAATTATTAATCACTTATACACTTTCCAATGTCCCACTATAATTTTGTCACAGATTGTATGAATTTCCAAAAAAGGATGTCCTTACAATGTTTGCTTATTATTAACAACCCTTTCCTTTTCCTGTGTTTTGTAAAATATTTATTCTATTTTCTCTGGAACACAATAATAAAGAATATACATATATAAAAAAACAAACAATACAGAGACAAAATAATAATAGAAAATAAAGCATTAAGTAATGCCTGCGGACCAAAGAATAAAAACAAATTTTCTGTACCCTCTGCTCTCTTCTTTATAAATATGATCACTATTATCAAATCAAAATCTATTCCACATCAATATTTCTAATAAACTTGTTTTTAAATTTTGTATTCTTCTTGTCTAGCGACTTACCTCTAGCTTTCAAAACAGGCAGATAGGTAATAACGGACGAATCTTGCTCTGGACGAACGAAGTCCGACGCTCTCTCTCACTCCAAAAACCACAACAATTAGTGTCCCGAACAGTGAAGATAATTGTGGTTTAATGACCTCGTTAAAACATTATGCTCCATAAACATGTCGTGACATTTTGATGAACCATTATACTGCATGCGTGCATTAATTCCAGTAATGAAGCATGATTCAAACTCTAGTGTATCTCCGTCAATAACTTGACAAACTCTGAATAGAAACAATGTCTACCGGGAGTGTCTACCAGTATCACCGGCCTTTCTTACAATCGAAGTCTCCTCAAGGAGTTCTCCGAAAATATTATTGCCCCGTACGTGTTTAACGCGTACCTAGGTGATTTGAACACCCTGTTCGTGTATGCAAGCGAACCGGTGCTCGTAATTTGGAACCAGTTCGTTAATCTCAAATCGGCAAATAGAATATTTGTCTCTTCCTATTATTCCCAAGTCAAAAGGTAAACGATATCTGTGTGAATGGTTTCTTTCACCAGACGTATTTCTCCGGGCATTTTATGTGCTCATCTTTTGTACCCTGCCCTGTGTGCCCTCTGTCCTTTCGGTTTGCGATACCAATAATGTAGTCTCGAATATTCAGACAGTTTTGAGCTCAGTTGGGTGGTGTTTAGGATGAAGGTAGAAAAACGAAATTTAGGCCAATATTAATAGAGAAAATGCTGCACAACCAGGTAATCATTACCACAAGTTACTTTAATTTCATTGGTGATTATTTTCCCTTCCACGTGCCCTTTCTTTACATCATCAGTTCGCTAAACGCTTGTATTGTAGACTAAATTACCCCCCCCCCCCCCATGGGGGCGTATTTTTATATACGGAATTATCCATGAGCCCCGTGCTGAGTTGTTTTAGTTGGCTTTTACTTTGTATGTTGTGTCTTCTGACATGATATTTAGTCAGTAATTCATTCTTGTATTTAAAAAAAAGTTCTCAAGAAAGAGAGAGAGAGAAAAAAAAAAGTCATCAGTCCTCAGCTTCTTCCACTTGCATTGTCCTATTATTTTTTGTGAGGGGCCAGGGAGCACGTGCCTCTAGAACCCCCCCCCCCGATCAGCCACTGATTCTATTGATATCCTTTAAAGCCCCACTGCACTACTAATAGCTACTTGCGCCCTCTATAATATAGCAAACAATGCCTTATCGGTGCCTGTTGGTCCCCCATGATCCTCTTTTTCTTATGTTAATGCAATGATTTGATGAGATAACCACCGTCCTGAGTGATCTTGCAGGGAGGTCTAATTCCCCTGGCCAAACTGGCGCAGACGAGCTTTAAAACACATTCGAATACTAGCAATTTAGTTATATTTTATACCAAAAATCAATTATTAAAATAATTATTGTTATTTCCACTTGCTCCACCTGCAACAATAATTGTTTTCAAAATGGGTTTGTTTTTAACGACTACAATCCATTCGTTTGCAGGATGGGGGAAAAGTTGTACGTGCTTTCTCGCCTGAGAAACGCGTCGTGTAGCAATAGCAACCAGTATAGCTATAGGGGATTGACCCGGGCGGCTAGGGCATGCTAGGTCTACAAGTTGAGAGAAAGAGAGAGAGAGAAAGAGAGATAGAGAGAGAGAGAGAGAGAGAGAGAGAGAAAGAAACTAGGAGAGACAGAGAGAGAGAGAGAGAGAGAGAGAGAAAGAGAAAGAGAGAGAGAGAGAGAGAGAGAGAGAGGTAAAGAGAAAGAAAGTGAGGGAGAGAGAGCTAGCTGAGAGAGTTCTTGAGTCCATTGTGGTATAGTGGCTCATTCACTGGACTCCGAGTCCCTATCGAGAGTTTTAGGTTTCAAATATCTATAGATAAGTTTGTCCTATAAAGACAAGGATTTATTCCTTATAACCACATATGAATATTACGTGTGCGATATCCGATATTAAAAGCTACATAATGAACATGAAATGAACATAAATGAACATTAATGACTAAGTATTTTATCATTATTATTATTACTACTACAGTATTATTATCAGGTATTAGTATTATCAGGACTACACTCCTCCAAGAAAGATTACCGAGTCAGAGTCTTTTTTCAGGACTCCTCAAACCTCTCTCTCTCTCTCTCACACATGGTGCACCCGCAAACCTACTGTATACAGTATTATTGTTTTAAACGAATGAGGAAATGTATGAAAAAGTTGATTTGTTTAGCAACTGATGTTAATTAAGAATTATCCTTTTGTATATTCTATTTTTAATCTCTGAATGTGATGTTAATTCTCTATGATGTACATTGCATAATTATGATTATTATGTACCTCTGGTATTGAGGAAATAAAACATCTTATAAACAAATAAATTTAATACAAAAATAAACAAAACAAAAAAACAATATCAATATTAGTATATTTATCTTATATTTACAAAACGACAATGAGACCTTTTATAGGCCATCGAAACGGATCACTGCGGCGTCTTTATAGAAGAAAAATGCAAGCAGAAATCCTGAGTATCCTCCGCCCCCACCCCCCCCCCCCCCTTCCGACCCGAAAATAACTTAAATTACGATACAGTATTTCAAAATTAATTAAGACGCTGTCACAGCACTGATCGAAATACAAATCAATGTGTCACAGACTCGCAGTACAAGAAAGTGTTGGATTTTTCCGATTACATAACATTTTTCTAAAAGTCAGAATTTGGAGGGCTCCCTCAGGGGGGAAGTACTTATAGTTTAGACCATTCTTCCAAGCCGTATGATAAAGGTGTCTGACATAAATATTAGTACTGTATAAACGTATAGTCCAATCCTAAAGTGATATTATTTTATTGCAATACGAAGTCAAATTTCTTTGTTATGTGTTTGTTCAGGAATATGAGGGGGGAGGGGTTAAAAGGGGAGGAGAAGGAGGGGAATGGAACATTGACATTCAAATGAAGCAAATTGAAAAAGGATATCAAACTAAAAGCAAAATAAGACAAAACAGAAAGAAAACTTTGAAACAAAGGAAGAAACAAAATGAGGGGAAAGAGGTTGAAAAGCAAAAATTGAAAGGGAAAGGAATTATATTTACGCGAAAATGGGAGAAGAATACCAAATAGAGAAGGAACTAAGAGCCCATTTAGAAGAAAAACAAAAACACGAATATATATATTTCTTTACCACCCCTCAACCACCACTCATCTACGGTTGTAAGCCGTTAGCTCAAAAGGAGTAAACACTTTCGCAAATACAAGTGTGCAACTCGTTATTTGCCAACCCAACAAAGCGATACACGAATCCTAACAAAAGCTAAATCTATGCGTATTTTTGTTGAAAAGTTCTTATACCATTGTATTGTGTGTATGTGTTTGTAGTTTGCCGTGGGAATGAGAGCTGTTACTGGTATTCGTCTTTATCCTTTGTTTGGTGTTGTTATACTGTTAGCATTTTGTCTGAACGCCATCGGTCTTTAATAGGGAAGGAGTCGTAGATCGGTCACGTGACACTTAAAGGATAGTTTTAACAACTCCCCCTTTTTCCTTAATTTATTTTGGCTGTGTTGGTAGGGAGGAGGACGTTGAGCCAATTTCCCAGGAGTATCTTTTATTCTAAATAAGTTCATATTTTTAACATTTTGTAGGTATCTTATAATCAAATTATGGTGCTGCATGAGACACATGCCCCTCCCCATGTTTTCGAATGGCGAAAGATATTATTAAATGTCTTGCCAAATGGCATTTGAGCTGGGCTGGGACTGGAACCGCGAACCATAATAATCTACATTACATGAGTGACTAGACCACGACACCTCAAAGGTTAGTAACTCCATGCTCAAATCAATACAATCCCGGGATCTATGCAGGTATTTCGCTCAACTTGAAGAAACACCTTGTACACTTTGAGATAACCATCATTAATGCCCTTTAATCTGCACCGCTCCGTCAATCAAGCGTGTGATCGGACCCCCCCCCCCTCCACGCACACACGCATGCATTCAATCTCAGCACACGCACTCGATTTTAATCCTATCACGAAATAGCAGGTACGCACACACAAGAGAAATTAGGTATTGTGCAAACTCATGTGGAGATCATCTATCACACATTTCACCTGAAAGATCTTTAGGAAAATATCACATTTTGATCACTGTCTGGTTAATTCTGCCGTTTCGGAATACGTTCATTTTGCGCTCGTGTAGATGATACAGATCACACGTAAACGCAACTATACTTGACAAGCAGACGACCGGTGCGATATAAATTTTGAGAGAGCTGTCCGAGAGCGGCGTGTCGTTGCCTTGGAGATCTACGCGTTGGTATTGCTGAACAAGAGATCGTGCTCGCTCTTCGGCAGGTATTGTATTATTATAGTTTTACATTATGAATATGTCCTGACACCGAATTCTATATTCATATGGAGAGGAATTAGGCTAAACGTTATTATGGGAAAGTGGTATGCTTAATATTCGCCTTGTGCGGTATTGATCGTATACATTCAAGCTTGAAATATCTAGTCATGGAAATCAACTTAAGTTATGACATTTATTTTCATACATAACGATACAAAAAATAATCGGAACAGGCAGTAACTTTGCACAAGGGAATTCAGCCTTTACTAACTACTAGACGGAATGCAGAGATTTTAATTTGGACTTTTTACATTTTTAGATAACTACAGATTAGGGAATTGATGTGCGAATTGATAATGTCACTATGATTGTATAAGACATCCCCTATTTTATATGAAGAACAAAACTATAATTCTACGGTCAGCAAAATAACCTTTTTTTGAATTCTTTTAGATATAAGCTTTAATATGTGACATTCTCAAGCAACATAATAAGTCGGGACGAATATTGTTTCCACATACCTGGAAAATTACAAAACAAGGGTATGAATAATTTAGTTGCTAACTGTATTTATACAATGCTCTTGCGTGTATGTCTCGTGTGTACCCTCTCCTGTCTGGAGTTCAATGTCTGATGACTGGTGTTCTATTCATGCTGAACAAAGAACAAGCTTGCCAAGAGAATACCCTTGAGTACTCTATAATAGTCATTGTAGCATGCCTATTCGGTATCACCTGAGACAATAGCAATTTTACTTGACCACACTTTGAAATCAATGTAATGCCTATTGTCCAGAATAGCGCAGGTGAGATAAATATCGATTTATGGAAGGGTATACGACTATGAATTCGCCACAAGACAAGGTCACTTTCTACACAATCATGTCCAAAAAAAAGTTCTAACCTCCGAGAAGATGGTTATAATGATTGTAGAACCAAGAATCCCTTGTGTGCGGGGCGCAGAAGGGGCTTTTCTTCTCGCTGGAAGGACCTTGTTCTTGTTTATGGGAAAGAAGGTTGGGAATTATTACCTTCCACGTCTCGACAATCCAATCTATACTACTTCTACTACTACTACTACTTCTACTACTACTACTACTACTACCACTATAATACCACTACTATACTACTACTGCGGCTACTACTACTACTACTACTACTACTACTACTACTACTACTACAACTACTACTATACTACTACTGCTACTCACTACTACTACTCACTACTACTGCTACTACTACTACTACTACTACTACTACTACTACTACTACTACTACTACTACAACTACTACTACTACTACTACTACTACTCACTACTACTGCTACTACTACTACTACTACTACTACTACTACTACAACTACTACTATACTACTACTGCTACTCACTACTACTGCTACTACTACTACTACTACTACTACTACTACTACTACAACTACTACTATACTACTACTGCTACTCACTACTACTGCTACTACTACTACTACTACTACTACTACTACTACTACTATACTACTACTGCGGCTACTACTACTACTACTACTACTACTACTACTACTACTACTACTCACTACTACTGCTACTACTACTACTACTACTACTACTACTACTACTACTACTACCACTACTACTACTACTACTTCTACTGCTACTCACTACTACTGCTACTACTACTACTACTACTACTACTACTACTACATGTACTACCACTACTATTATACTATACTACTACTTTTCTACTACTACTACTACTACTACTTCTATATTGCAGATAGATTCAGACGTTGAGAATGGAAGGGCGTGGTCCCTATCGAATCAGCTTCTCTGGAAACTCGTTCCTGGGGGTGTACGATCTGGGGTGCGCAGTGTGTCTTCTAGATCACGGGAAGAGATTAATACAGAATGTGGAGTCTTACGGGGGCATCTCCTCCGGGGTCCTCACGGCAGCGCTCATGATGTCTGCTCCGGAATGCCTGCTGGTAAGATACAATGCTATGGTTCAAAAAAGTGAGATTAGTTTGAGATCAATTTTGAGTTTTGCAATTTCAATTTCAATTTCAATTTTGATTTCACTTTCACTTTCAATTTCAATGTTAGAATCAATCTCAATCTTAGTCTCAGTCTTATTTTCAGGTTCAGTTTCGATTAAGTTTCAATTTCAGTTTCATTTTCAATTTTTGTATCAATTTCAATTCCAATTTCAATTCCAATTTAAATTTAAATTTAATTTTCAATTTCGATTTCAATCTTAATTTCCATTTTAGTTTTAATTTTAAATGCAGTTTAATTTGTCAAAATATGCAAATATATCTATAAGAATTGTATGAAAACACATAAAACACGTGTATACAATAAAAACAAAACATGATAACGGACCTTAAGTGAAGTCCATTCTGATATAGTGTTGGGTTTAATAGATTCAGAAAAAGAATGAGAGGGCCAGATCAGTGAAAGTTGGAGCATAGGCCGATACTTAGAAATTAAGAAAGTTATGAATGTTCGCATATGAAACCTTTCAAATTATTTTGGAAATGACAAGCTGTACAGAGAGTGTCATATTTAGTTTTCTTTAATTTTAGCAACATTTAGATGCCATCCTCGCACTGTCTACGAAGATACACAGCCTTCCGAAGGGAGCTTTGACCCCTGGATTCGACCTGACACAGGAAATACGTCATATTCTTGAAGGTCTTCTAAAGGTAATTGAATCAAGGTTTACATTATTTGCTGAATATATTCATTAAACAAAATAAACATTTTGTCTTTTTGATGTACACTACCAAAATCATTTGCATAAGAATTAAGTTATTGATATGTTTGGCTAATCTGGGGTTGACATCCGAAGTGGACAAACCTCAACACGAGTAGTCTAACTTACAAAAACAGATGTAACAGGCTTTATGATTTTAATAATCATAGGTCACACAGCCGCGTGTATATTTGTCTAGTTTATTTTTAGGTTAAAACTACAATTCATTGAACACACGGAGGCTTAAAGTATTTTTAAAATTATGTTTTTGTTTTTTTTAATCGAGTATTTTTTAACAGCGCAAGGAGTAGCAGTTTACTGGTCTGATAATCAGACTCTGATTATTGTAATTGTTTGAACATTGTGTTTACTCTGGATGGGTCTTCCTTCGTTAATTCATTCAAAATCTGGACATAATCAACTACAAAATAGTCATGAAGTAAATAGTTGAAAATGTAATATATTTGCACATTGTCTTCTTCTTCTTCAGCTGCAGTAGGCTTATTTTATAGATTCACAGTCAGGTGTTTTCGCTGAATATGAAACAAAACAAATAATGTTTCCAGTAAGTTTTGTGTTTCGTTTCAATGTATTTTGTTATACTTCAGCTCACTTTTACCTGTTATCGTTCATTCCAATCAACAGAATAATTGCCACGACACGTGTTCGAATCGGCTCCACGTACCACTGCAAGAACTTGTGACGACGGAAAACATCCCAGTGCACATGCGCAGGAGACCACAAACTTTGGAGGAGGAGTTACAGCCCCTCAAGCCCCCCACGAAGTCGGACATCGTGACGGTCGACGGGAAGGCGTATCTTTTTGGTGATAAGCAAGTTGTGACGGCGTATTCGACAAAGCAGTCCCTCATTGAGGTAAATATTAACATTCTAATAATTTCCATCTAAGAATAAATGTTAAGGGGGGGGGGGGGGGGGGGGGGAGATGGATGCAATGTACATTTTATTTCGTAAAATTTTGACCGTAAATGTAGCGTGATTGTAAGTGGAAATGCATTTATTGTGTTTGGTTGCTAAACCTTATCACGTGAATCATTTAAATTAATCAGTTATAAATTTGATATCGTCTTATTTAAACTAATAAAGGTATTATTGTTGCCTCAAAGTTTTAGTTGAATATTGTAAAGGTCTCATGGAAAATTGTTGATAATCTTTTTCTTGTTGTTCCTCCTCCTCTTCTTCCAAATCCTCTTCCTCTTCTTCTTCGTATCCTTCATCTTCTTCTTTATTCTTTTATATTTCTTCTTCATCTCCCATTCTCCACCATCTACTCTGATTGTCTTCATCATCTTATCCTCCTTCTAATTCTTATTTCTTCTTCATTTTCACTTTCTATTTCATCTCATCCTACTTCCGTCGGACCTACTTACCATTCATTCGCTTGACAGGTTTTACTCGCTGCAGTTTACTATCCATCCAGCCCCACGGCAAGTGCCCCGACCGTAATGGGAAAGGTATGTAAGATCCCCCTCCCTCTCCCCCTCCCCCTCTCCCCTCCCCCTCTCCCCTACCCCTCCCCCTCCCCTCCCCCACTCCCCTCCCCCTCTCCCCTCCCCATCCCTTATTCCCCTCCGGTCACTTTTCACCCATTTCATGAACCAACATCTATGATAAACCATTTTCGTAATGCATACGTAATCAAATTGAATGCATAAATATTTGTTACAAAATATTTCATTCACCTGTTACAAAATAATATATTTCAATAGTCAGAATGCGAATTGCATACTGTTGCTAGGTAAGACAACACTATGGCTCCTCCTATCTCGATCGCAACATGTTATGTATGCAAATCATATTCTGACTATTGAAATACAATTATTTGTAAGAGGTGATTGAAATAATTTGTAACCAGGCACTTGACAAAGATTATTTTGTGCGTTAAATTGTTATTATATTACCAATACGGTATGTTCTAATGATTCAGCAACACTTTAAAAATACTATTTTCTGGCAAAAATGTGAACATCTTTATCAGTCAGTCCCTGTATCTTGTTTGGAAATCCTACACTATTATGGGGCGATTGATATGATTTTCGAAATATTATGCTTGATAGATGAATATATACATATTTAACACCATAATCAAATTAAATATATAAATTTGATTCAATCAAGACATTGCCGATGATGAGGGTGTGACAGAATTTAAGACTAACGAAATTCATAAAGCTAGAAGATCTTAAAGCCCCATTGTCCTACTTGTAGATACTTGCTCCCTCTATATAGAAAACTTCCCCAATCGGTGCCTGTTGGTCCCCCATGATCCTCCTTTTCTTATGTTAGTCGATCGAGAGCTGAGTTAATGAGATAGCCACCTGTCAGTGACCTCGCTTGCTAATCCCTTCTGTCCAAGTAGTATTGACGGTCTTTGAGAAGGTTTCGGTCCTGACTTGTTTTTAATTTCGCTTTCACCACCAGCACTACGTCGACGTGAGCGCGCTCTCCGGCACGCCCAAAGACGCCACCGACTGCGGCTTCCCACCATCCGGTCACGTGATCACCATCGCGCCCGATAAGAACGCGGGACTGAGTAGACCGCGCGACAACCTCACCCTGGGTCTTCGTGACGTCGGCAGAGATAATTACGTCATCAAACCGTGGCACATGTTTCGTCTGGGCGAGGGGCTGTACCCCCCGCGGAGGGAGGAATTGGAAAAGACATTTCTGGATGGGGTTTCGGACGCTAGGGAGTTCCTTAAAAAGTTTCAACTGTACGACGAAGGATACGATAGCCACCCTTATGGGGCGCCTATGTATTGATGTTTTGATGGGTTATCATATTTAATTCTGCATAAAGTATTTTTTTTTTAAAGAACTGGCTAAGAAAAATTTATCATCATAGCTTTGAATTCATTTCCCTCCTCACTGCCTTCCATCTGGTTGAAATAAAGGCAAAGTTTCCAACAAGCCAATAGCTGTCTTTGACTTGAATCGAACTCTGATCTTCTGCTGCGTATACGAAGCCTAAATGCCTTAACCACTGGACCACGTAGACGGGTTGTGCTGAAGGTGAAAATCGGCTTCATCTTATACGATCGCCGACAGACAACATCTCCAACTTCTCAGCAGTTTTCTTATTCCCTCTTTCTCATTTTAAGAACGGGAGTGTATAGAACTATCTCAAGAGCATACGTTTTGATCTTGAGAGAGAGAGAGAGGGAGAGAGAGAGAGAGAGAGCATAATATAGCATAACTTCGTTTAATGTCAGGTGAAACATTTGCGTTGGTGCTTGAGAAAGAGGCAGGAACCAACAAATTTGTATACAAAATAATTTCAAAAATCATACTTTTTACATCTAACGTTTTCACAATGATACCTTTTACATGGCGTTGCAACATCTGCTCGAATGTTTATTATCATGGATATAAAAGAAATGCATAAGTACACTGTAAAAATTTGCTGTAACTCATGCAGTAAAATACTGTGATTTACAACAGTAATATGTTGTAATAACGATTTTACGATAATTAACTGTATAAGTACGTTGCTGTACAGTATATTGCTGTAAACATCAGTGTCGTAGAGCATGGGAACAAATATCTACAGTATATTAAAACTTTGATATAATTATCAAAATGAAGTTCTTTCTGAGACTTGTCTTGTTTTGAATTACTAGTCGCAATGAGCATAGTTACGCCGACTATCTTTCTCTCTCCATTTGTCTGTCATTCCTGTCCCACCCTCTCTTGCTCTCTCTCTTTCAACTACCATGACTACTGGAGTATCCAGTATTCTCTGTACGGAGGTGGGGGTGCACATCTCTCAAGAAGTGCTCATAATTCGACAAAGAAAAGGGTTAACAATATTATTACGATTAATAGGCCTATATTTTCGTTGGGGAAGAGGAGGGGGGGGGGGTGGGTTACAGAAATCAGATAGATAGATAGAAAGGTCCCCCCAAATTGTTCGTTTCCTATTTGGTGAGTTGACTGTTGATTATTTTGCAGCCCCATGCTTCGATTCAGCGTTTACCCCATATCGCTCTCTCTCTCTCGCTCTATAATCAACTCTGTCTATCTAACTATTGTTCTGTCATTTGTGTATGTTCTGTTCTTTTGTTTATAATGCAGATGCTTTTATGTGACTCTTTTTTCTTCTTCTTCGCCAGTGCGCCTTGAGCAATTGATTTCATGTGGATTCAGCTCGTTACAAATCTCATTATTATTATCTCCCTGTCTCCCTATTTCTGTCTCTCTCTGTCTCTGTCTCTCTGTCTCTTTCTCTCACCCACTCACTCACTCACTTACTATTATCTACCTCTCTCTTTATCAATCTCACCTGATCAATCCATCGGAACTGACGTTGAGATGAGAACGCCATAATCAATCTCTCTTTCTTAGCCAACGGCTGAAACATTTTGGTTCGTTTCAATGAATAAATCCTTGACGGGAGCCTCGTCTTGAGACAAACGTCTCAAGTATTATCAAGTGAATGATACACGCCTAAAACTGAAACAACAATAAGATTTTAAGCCTAAAAATCAAAGCCTAAAATGAACCACTAAACATCGATGGACTCAGGAGCTCTCTCTCTTTCTCTCTCTCTCTTTCTATCTCTCTTTCTCTCTCTCTTTCTTTCAAGCGCGTAGCCAGGATTTTATTTTAGGGGGCGGTAGTGAGCACACGAGGCGTGCGAATCACTTGCAGAGCGCGCGAAGCGCACTCCCCATAGGGGTGGGTGCAGGGGCGTCGCTAGACCTTTTTCAGTGGGGGGGGGGGGGGGGGGGGTGTAGAGGCCAAAGATTACCGACAAAACAAGCCACCAATTACCGACAAAATTAAATGTCCAATATCTACAAATTTAACCCTATAAACACGAGGCCGAAGGCTAAATTGTTTTTTTCCCCGCGGAAGCTTAGACGTTTCCTTAAATTATTAGGAAAAAAGACGATTTATTGTACCGTTCTCGACTGTTATCCTTGTCTAAATAAAGTTCTCCACCCTCCCGCGCAAAGCGCGGAAGCTTTGACGTTTTATTAAATTATGAGAAAACGCAGACGATTCGGTGTACTGTTCTCGACTCTTAATCCTTGTCTGAATGAAGCTTTCCCCTCCCGCGCAAAGCGCGGAAGTTTTGACGTTTCATTAAATTATTTTTTGAAAGAAGACGATTCGTTGTATAGCGTTTTCGACTCTTAATAAGCCCTAATTGTCTGAATTCAGTTTCCCCCTTTAGCGCGAAGCACGGAAACTTTGACGTTTCCTTATATTATTAGAGAAAAAAGACGCTTCGTTGTACCGTTCTCGACTCGTGTAAATGAAGTTTTCACCTTCCGCGCGAAGCGCTGAATTTTTTGGCGTTTCATCACAATATAGAGAAAGGAAGACGATTCGTCATACCGTTTTCGACTCTTATTAAGCCCTAATCATCTGAATTCAGTTTCCTCCTTTTGCGCGCAGCGCGGAAGCATTGACGTTTCCTTAAATTATTAGAGAAAGAAGACGCTTCGTTGTACCGTTTTCGACTCTTAATAAGCCCTATATGTCTGAATTCAGTCTCCCCCTCTCGCGCGAAGCGCGTAAGCTTTAAAGTTTCATTAAATTATTAGAGAATTCGTTGTACCGTTTTCGACTCGTCTAAATGAAGTTTTCCCCTTCCGCGCAAAGCGTGGAATTTTTGGCGTTTCATCACATTATAGAGAAAGGAAGACGATTCGTCCTACGGTTTTTTGCTCTTATTAAACCCTATTCATCTGAATTCAGCTTCCCCCCTCTCGCGCGAAGCGCGGAAGCTTTGACGTTTCCTTAAAATATTAGAGAAAGGAAGACGATTCGTCGTACCGTTGTTGACTCTCAAACCTTGTTTGAATTTAGTTTACCCGAAAATGTTAAACCTTTTTTTGTTGGGGGGGGGGGGGGGGGGGAGAGAGGCGACCGCCCCCTGGCTACGCGCCTGCTTTCTTTCTTTCTCTCTCCCCATCTCCCTCCCTCTCTCTCCCCCCTCTCTCTCAATCACTCGCTCACTCACTATATCTCTCCCTTTTTCAAACCCACCTGAACACACTATCGGAAACGTTGGGATGAAAACGCCCTTTATAACCTAAACAATGAGTTTCTGACCATTCGAAATGTACCCCAAAATAAGATACATTGTAATTTCTTTTATAAGTTATTGTTATTAGATTTACCCACACATCATTTGCCATCTATTAGGCGTTACAAAAAAAGATGTTGTATTAATTGCCCTTTGCGACCGACCAATCTTGAAATCTACGGTCGGCTTTTTAAAAAAGTTTTTTTTTTTAAACCGTTTTTTAAAAGAGAAAAGGTTTAATGAATAATCAAATATAAATTAAAGCATGTAAAACTGAGAAATATTAGCCTAAAAGAGGGTGGAGGAAAAAAAATAGTTTCACCAAAAAAAATTTCAAACCGACTGACCCATTTTTTGGCACCTAAAGGGCAATACAACATCTTTTTTTGTTAGGCCTTATTAATGCAATGTACACAAACAGGTAAATTATCAACACAGGATTTTACATGCATAACCGTTTAATCTTATTTGAAGTATTGCCTGAATTCATACTTTTACAATAATTATACATTGTTTCCATATATTATCTTTCAAATTATTCTTTTCCATATCTGACATTTGTAATAATTATTCTGCCTACTTGTATTAAAAAAACACACAAAGGATTCATGTACCATGCATGTCAATGAAGTTATCTAATAAATACGAAATCCGAATACAACCTTTCTGTAAATGGCTGAAACACTATGGATGGGATAATAATCTTAATTGTGAGAGCTACCATAATTATAATGGTGTGAAAAATCCAAACATTGTTTTTGAAAGCTGAGAAGTTATGCAATCAGTCATCTCTATTTAATTGCCCAGTTTATTAACTTTGGCGTATATTAATTTGGTTGTCTTTTCCCCCTCCTTCTTATCATGGGGGGGGGGGGGGGGGGGGGGAGGGGGGAGGAGGGGGGGGGGGGTTAAAGGGATGAAAGAAGGCAACTAACAAGAACAGTAACTTAGATCAAACGCGAAGGCCTGTGTTATTTATTGGTTTGTTTTGTTTTCCAGTAACTAAATGAGTCAACGGTTATTTTTGATGTTGTTAATCTTGTTGAACATAAAGGATTAAAAAAGTAGTCCTAATAAAAAAAAAACATGACAGAGGCGTTACCATGCAAATAAGCCTCATCTCAGTATAAAGGGGGAGCTTTGATGTCTGGGGCACGACGGAGCTAGGGGCCGGGGCGATTTAATCCGGATTAGGCTGTCCAAGTGTTTCTTATTTTAAGACCCCGGATCTCTGTTCTCAAAGGCCGATAAGAAATACTTGCTCCGGTAAAAAACGGTAGCCAAAATTTACCGGCAACTACTATTTCATCTAAAGGCCTTTTGTTGGGCCGTCTTACTCACTTTTTTGTGTTTTTGTACCACTTAAGTTTTTGTAAAGACCAATTGGTCCTTATTGAGATGGATGAGCTTCTTGGGATCATTATCTTTGTGAACCGGCTGAAGAGTAACAGGACTGAGTATGGTGCTTTTTGTAAATACATGCTTAAGATTTCTTTTTTTTCCTGATTTTTTTCTTCCATCCGTTATTTTTGTGGAAGTAAACTGTTTGCATATGCGCGATTGCATCGAGTTGCTAACTGTTTGTCTTTTGAACAGCCGTTTTCTCGATTCCTGTCTTACCACCAACGTTGCATTTACGTATTAGCGAAGAAAATGCCTGGATGATTGAGTTCATCACCACAGGAGCGGTTTCTGGAGAAGCTGATGAAACTTGGCACTCTTGTGGACCCGGAAAAACAGAGTTTCATGTGCGAAAACGACGGTAGATTGTACTTTCGTGTGACCTCCGTAAAATTCGAAGGTATGTTGAAAAGGAATTACGTGTATTTTGTACTGTTATTCACTTATTTGCCTTTAAATGGACCCGTTTATAGTCTTACTCCGATATTGCGTACAATGCATGGATCGCAGAGTTTTTACTGGTGTACGATGTATTGAGTTCTGTGTTTGTTGTGATGGTGTTGACTGTAAATCCAAGCAATAACTGAATAAGGCAATATAGACTAAAATATAAGATACCAACGAAAACGCAACTTAAACATATCCACAGCAACAATTTTTTAATATATGAAAACTTTTTTTTTAAATCCCCCAAATTTGACACAATTTGCCAAATAGAGATCTAGTCTAGACTAGATCTAGACTAGACTAGATCTAAAATAGATCTAAATGAATTGCTTTTTCTGCATTCTGCAAAGACCAAAGTTTGTAAATATTATTAATTTAGAACTAGAGGTCTAGACTAGATCTAGGTCTATTTGTATATCTAGTTTTGGTGGATGTTTATTCTAATTCTATGTTTAAAGAGATTGTGTCATTCTTTTTTGGCATTTTCACAATGCATGTTTGAATGCACTGATTTCCTTATAAAAATTAAAACTGAAGTGAAGATATGATGACGCGACGTCTATATTCAATACTGAATGAATGCCATTAAATTATTACCAACAACAACAATGCACTGAGTAAGAGTGTAAGATAGTGTTATATAAATACTGTACATAAATCAAGACAAGAAAAAACTAGAAGAAGGAATTTGTAAAACAGAGCAAGACAATTAAGAGATCAAATGTGTAAAGAATACAATTAAGGTGGAGAAACAAGACTAAAAGAAGGCCATGGAATTTGAAACTCATAATTCCAAACTTTAGAGAAGCAAATGCAAGTAAACTAGAAATTAAAGAAGTATAATTGGAAGTAAACAAAATGAAATAACAAAATTAAAAAAAAAAATAGATATAAAAAAATATTATAAAATGAAACTTTCAAAGGGTGAAGGAGAAGGAAAGAAAGGAAACATATGAGGAGATAATACCAAACCTATTTAAAAGAATAAAGAAAAAAAAAGAAGTGAAACAAAATAGTACAACAGAAGATTTAAAAAACCCATCACAATTAGTATATCATAATTGAGAAATTCTTGTATACAGTGCTTATCACATAATAATAGTCAACTCCTTTGAAAGAAAAGCCTCTTAAAGGCACACTGTCCTACTTGTAGCTACCTGCTCCCTCTATATAGAAAACTTCCCCAATCGGTGCCTGTTGGTACCCCACGATCCTCTTTTTCTTATGTTAAATGAGAGCTGAGTTAATGAGATAGCCAACTGTCACAGTGACCTCGCTGGCTCGCTGGGTGGTCTAAACCCTTCTAGCTGAACTGAAGTAGTAAAGCCTGCCTTTAATACAAAGCCTGTATGTTAATGTAGCACTTTCAAAATGTCCCAATGCATAACAAGAACAAAATTAGCTGAGATTTTTATGACAGTATTTATGTGAAGGTAGTGTACAGTAATCTATTCTATCATGATGAATAACTGTATCCATTTTCTTTGTGCTCCCCTACTCTTCTCCCCTCCCTCTCTCTTTCTTCTTTAGCTCCATACCATCCTCCTTCTTTAACTCTTTCATTTCATCTTTATTTCTCTACCCTCTATGTCTATGTTAGGACAGCTTCTGTTTCCTCGTATATATATGTATATTTTTATCAATTGTCATTGTGTTATTGTAAATTTTCGCAATTCGGCTTTGCTGCAATGAAAGTATTTTCATAACCATCATTGAATGAATGAAAGGAGGATTGTTTTCTTACAACTGCAGTCAAACCTGCTTTAGTGACCGCCTATCTACAAAGACCACATTAAGACATAGAATATCCTTTCTCCTACTCTCCCTCTGCAGACCTCTATGATTGGTCCAACCCCATCCAGAAATGGAAGAGTCATCGGGTAAGCGGGCATCAGCTTTGATTGTGAAAGACAATGTCTGTATGTTTATGTAGTCTTTTGTAAATGTCCCACTGCTTAATACCACAAACAGGTTCATGTTTTACCACTGCTAGTAAACTTGGTTTCACAGATTAGTCATCTTTCTTCCTACTGTCCCTCTGCAGACCTCTACGATTGGTCCGACCCCGACCAGAAATGGAAGAGTCATCGTGTTAGCGGTCGTCAGCTGAGACGATCTAACAGCATGCCTACAGGGAGCCTGGTGCAGCTCAACGATGAGGGCATCGCTCTCTTCCGCTACAAGGAACTGCTCTTTGCCATTAAAGAGAAATGTCCCCATCTAGGTGAGAAATGTGATGTAAGACCTAAAAAAAGATGTTGTATTGCTCTTTGCGACCAACCCCAAAATCTTGAAATCTGTGGTCAGCTTTTTAAAAAAGTTTTTTGTTTTAAACCATTTTTTTAGAGAAAAACAATATTTAAGCATCCAAAATTGAAAAAAAGTTAGCCCAAAGAGGGAGAAGAAAAGAAAAGAAAAAATTCTGACAGACCGACCCATGTCGCGGCTCCTAAAGGGCGATACAACTTTTTTTTTAAAGGCCTAATTTTACAGTGCCTTGAGTACCTGGCATAGTTGATATATGAGTAATATAGAAATATCCAATATCACCACCACCTCAAAAGTTACTATACCCAATGACAGGCATAGACAAATAGCTCTGGATAAACAACCCCTCTAACAATTACCCCTGTAAAAAATTGACTCAAAATGAAATTATTCTAGTTGTTCAGGGGGTATTTTTCTAGACGAAGCTTTTTTAATTGGTAGAAGTCCAGAGATTTTTATTATCATATGCAGATACTCAGATTCTTGAAGCAGGGTACCTAGGGTATTTTATTGTATTTGCATCACCTTTTGTGTCATGTGTCACCTCTGATCTTTCGCTGTAAAGTAAGCTGGGCAGGGCCTGTAGACACTAGGTCACAGCTTTCTCTTTTCATTTCACTATTAGTGAATGTAGTTTGTATACTTTACACCCAGTTTTTGTCTGACCTTTATTACAAAAAAAGTATAGGAGAGAGATACATGTATTCAAGAAAAGAAATAAATAGAAGGATAATTGCTTGAAATTTTGAGTTAAGAGTTCTTCGCTCTTAAGGTTGGAATTCAATTTAAATTTCTTATGTTTCTTTTAACCTATGAATCTTGATTTCCTAGGGGGCCCTCTACACATGGGTGATATAGAGGTTTTACCGGATATGTCCATCTGCGTCAAATGTCCCTGGCATAAGTGGAGCATTGACCTGACCTCTGGAGAGGTCAAATCGCCCAAAGGTCGCAAAGAAGTCAGCTCCGTGACCTTTCCCACCAAGATCGATGAGAGCGGGACCATCTTCATCGGGTTTCAGAAATTCAGTGGGAAGTATTTTTCAGGTGATGAAGATTTTTAAATGCTACGCCATTCAGCATTCTCACCACAAAATTGCTAACTCTTGCTCCTAAATTTCCCAGTAAGTGTAAACTGGCCTAGTAATTTCCCAGTAAGTGTAAACTGGCCGAGCAATTTTTCAGAAAGTGTAAACTGGCCTAGCAATTTACCAGTAAGTGTAAACTGGCCTAGCAATTTTCCAGTAGGTGTAAACTGGCCTAGCAATTTTCCACTAAGTGTAAACTGGCCTAGCAATTTTCCAGTAGGTGTAAACTGGCCTAGCAATTTTCCAGTAGGTGTAAACTGGCCTAGCAATTTTCCAGTAAGTGTAAACTGGCCTGGCAATTTCCAAAGGGCAACGCTTCATTAGGAAGACCTCAGCACTTTTGTTTTCTGAAAATGTGCATCAGTACTGTAAAAGCAGAAACTTTTGTCCACACAAAATGTTCTGGAATCTTGCAACTGGCTCTTAAACTTTTGTGAAATCTTAATGCGGCAAAATAATCTAATCACAATTGACATAACAATGAATTCTTGTACACTGTACTATGCAAAATGTTCTTGCCCTGAAAATTGCTGTCGGTTACAATATCGTGAAAGTATTTGGTTGCAATTTCTTTTTATAAAGGTATATTCATTTCCCCCGTTAGTACTTTTGTTTGGGAGAAACTACTCCTATTCTTAAGTCTGTTACTCTTGGTATTACCATGGAGCTATAAGAGCTCCATGGTATAAGTACCAAGTGTGTAATGTGTAATACACCGATGAGAACTCAGATGCCATTTATATGTATGGCACACAATGTTCCGCAAAGTCTTGCTTTCTGCTCAGCTTCTGTTTTGATGGATAAAATCAAAAATTTTTGAAGGGATGGCTAGTCTCTTCACATCATTTATCTTTACCCCGTCATGTATTTATCAGTATTCTTAAACCCTGGTTAAAAGATTAAAAAGTCCTGCCAAGTACAAATGTATATTCTTGCCGCTCTTTAATTACATTATGCATCAGGTAAACTTATACATTTTGTAAGATAGACAAAATATACCGGGTGAATCAGAAAATCTTAGAAATTACTGAATCCGATGACCGGGGTAATGATATGTTCCGCGCCTAGAAACGTAGTATTAGGCGCATTATAAATGTGAGCTATTATTATTATTATTATAAGGAGATTGTTCTTAATCAATATCTTAATATTGAAAGCCATTAGAGTCTTGATAAATATTAAAGTACTGAAGACAGTATTTGTTTACATAGATTGTCAGAAACCTTGTTACCCCTAGAATATTTACATGCAGTGTGCTAATGTATTTTACTGAACATAATGTTGTAAGGAGGTTCAATATTTATGTCTCAAACATTCCCTTTCTTTGTAACAGATTATATGCATCGTTTCGGCTTAGCGGTGCCGAATTCCTTCCAAAGTTTTATCTTAAAGCCATGGATTCAAGCTCAATGTGCCTGTTCTCGTGTTCAATGGGCATGCAATTACTCAGAGCTTAGTTACTATGCAAAAGCCCTTAGTTGCATGCAGTCGCCATTCATTTACAATTTTAATAAAAACTGTGGCAGATTTTTCTGCAGTGGTTTACCGCGCCATTTTTGAACGGGCCTTAATGCTTACATTTTTACCTGAAGGATTTTCCAAATTTGTCAATTACCTTTGTAAATTGAGACCTTAGAGTAAAGATGAGCATTTTTATCACTATCTAATTGAAGTAAATATACAGTTACCATCTAAATGATTCATATCCTTACCAAGTTGTCCCATTTTTTTTTTTTTTTTTTTAATAGCACATAACATATTAAAGCTTTCATCAAAAAGTATTCAAGAAGGCTCTTATTCAACCTGTTTACCTTGCAATCTTGAATGACAAAAATCACAAAAACATCAAATTAACAATGGTTATGAATAATTTAGTTAACTGTAAGTATATGTTTACAGCAAGATGCCATTAGATGAACAGGAATTGAAGTAAAATTTGTCTTTCAGAAAGTTTCAGTGCCCCAACTCTCTTTTTGAAGGGTATTTAAAAAAATAAATTATGGAGATTGATTCAATGAAGTTTCACGGAGGTAAAAATAAGACTCTTGACAGTTCATTCATGATGCCTTCATGTATATTTTACATTTAAATATGTGGCCTTTTTTCTATATTGCTGCAAAATCCTGTCCATGTGTACTTCATACTAGAAATTTATTTTTTATATATGTAGAACTCTGTTTTTAAACATTCGTTCATAACCAAATGCTTCCATTGCGGTATTAATTGTAGTTTAACTATAATGTGTTACATATCAGATGCATATGTACTCCAGGTTCTGGGGATTTTACTAAGATACAAGTTCATTTGTAGGTACAAGTTATATATATTTTAACGTTATTGGCTTTTAATATTGTCATACGGTTATCTGAAAGATTTTACCCTTATACTATATTTGTTTGTTTCACACTTTCCATCCATAAAATTGGCATTGTGCAATTACATGGAAGAATCGTCCATCTAAAGTCATCTATTAATGTACATTTTCATTATATCTTTGCCCCATTTTGGTGGCTTAATTTCTTGTTCTTTCTTTCTATGTTATCTATTTTCTCATCTATTTTCTCATCTTAAGGTTATCTCATTTTCTCATTTTTAATCAGTTGCACATGTAAAATGTATTTAGCCATCTGTTTGGACCACATTATTGATCATATTCCTTTCATTTTGTTATGTTGAGAAAACATAACATTTTATCCATTGTTTAGCTTTAATTTCTTTTTAATATCAACCCAAATAATTTTTAGGCATAGTCACCAAGAAATAATACGGAATTGTGACTAATTCTTACTCATATTATTATTATTTTCATTTTTTGAAACTAACATTCCCATAACCGTAAGAACTACTGTAATGTTTTATAAGAATACAGTTAACTTTTATACATGTACATAATCTGGTTCAATGTTTCAAGCTATTTTTATAGGAAACCTTCAACATCGTAATGCCTAAATATATTTTTAACATATCCTTGTAAATAAAGAGAGAGTTTTTATTCATATGTTGTATAATATTGTTAATAGGTATGCTTTGTATAAAAGTATGGTAGAGCTTTTGCAGTTTTATTTTTCATTTGTCCCCTTCTAGCATGCAGTGTTGCTGATATCGTGTGATATTTATTTCCAATAATCATGTTTTTAATTATGACCATATTGTACATCCCCGTGGGGGTGTTTCACAAAGATCCTAAGTCGAACTTAACTCTAAGTTGGACTTAAAAATTATATGCAGCCATTTGTAGCCTGAAAAAAAATATATTCAAAAGCAGAAATTCAAGGATTTTAGACTTTTCATAAATTCAACATCGAGAACATGAAATCTCCTTGAAAATATGAATTATTTGGATCAACATTTTATGCCTTTTAAAATAACTTTTACTAAATGTTTTCAAAGATGCTAACGGCTTTCCATATCTTTTTAGTCCAACTTAGAGATAAGTTCAACTTAAAATCTTTGTGAAACACCCCCCCCCCCCCAGGTCTTAGAATTTTGGTATTAGGATCTTTAAATGGCTGCAAGAAATACCCTTGCATTTTTATTTCAAAGAAAGATTAGGAAAAGTTCACTCAGATTTTAAGTATATTTGATGTGATGTTTGCTGACACTAGTAAAGGTTTTTACAGTAAAAAACAAAATAATTGGAAGTCACAAATATTCGTGCAAAATATAATGTGATTTAACATTTTAAAAGATCTTATCCAAAGTTGATCTTTGTAAAATTAGACTGTAATAGTCCTGTCGTAACCATTTTGAAGACTCATGACATGTCTTTTCAAGTGCCTATTTAACATTATTACATTTATGTTAGAGGTGTGGAGGAAAGTCTTTATCCTAATAATATTTTTAAAGAAACAAACCTCTTTTGCATTTCTGAATCTGACGTGAAATAAACATGATTTTCACTATAAAGCATATTGATATTTTCAAAAGATGTCATTTGTTCTTGTATGTTGACGTAGATGTAGGTCATGGATTGTCTCGGTATACAAAATATTGGAAGAGACTTGGCAACGAGAGAGAATTTTAAAGAAGTTAACGTAACAATATGATATCTCCTCTTGATTTGATATTTTAAAAAACAATGAAAACAAAAAAAGACCCGATTTTTTGTTAATCCTTTCACTTTGTTATTGCAAAAACAAACCCCAAGCAAACCGAAAACGGAACAACAACACCATGCAAACAGCCATACTTCATTTCGGCACGTCCCAATTGTGAATATTCACCACAATATATCACAAAAATAGTTATTTCTCGGTTTTATACTTTGAATATTGATATTCTTTTCTCAGAAGAATATGGAAATATGATATGTGTGGGGGAGGCATTATGATTTCGGGTTCTCCGTACCTCTTGTAATTTCCAACATGATCATAATTGTTTTTCAAATTCGAAGTTTTTAGGGCCACTTGTGCCAATCATGGAATTCCCTTCGATGCCACCGAAAAAACCTAGCCATTCTTGGCCACCAACATTTTGTTTCTTATTAGCCAAGGTCACAACTGGTCGCGCACTACGTTGCAGCAGGTCCGTGTCAAGTTCGTAGAACACTCGTGCGACGGACGCAGGGATTTGCACATTATTTTATTCAGAACCACATGCAGGGAAACGTAAGCAGCTGCAGGAGGCTGGATAAACGTCTTTTGATGAATACAGTTAATTTTATAGTCGACATAAAGAGGTGAACTGGACTGCACGCTCCCGCAACGCTGAAAGTTTGGCATCATTTTAACCAGTTTGAAGATAGAGGAACAGTGCAGATCTCTGGCGCTCGGCCAGATATAACCGTGGCTTTAAAGCATTCAAATTGTTTTCGGTAAATGAAAAATCCACCTGAGATGTGTGTTGGAATGAATGAAATGTAATCATAATACGGGAAATTCCGACTTCTTATGAGTGTCTCTTGAGGTCCACATCACGACGGGGTCTTGAGGATATCGCAGAGTTCTTGAGGCGAGACATTCCCGCCAGTGATCACCACCACCACCTTCTTGCCCTCGATGTCGGGCACCTTACCGAAGAGAACCGCTCCAAAGGCTGCAGCCCCCGCTGGCTCCACCACCAACCCGGCGTGATAGAGACGAGAGACCGCCGCGATGATTTCTTCCTCACTGAGTAGGAGAATATCTTCTACGTATTCTTCAACGTGGCGAAATGCATTCGAACCTATTTTTTAGAAGAAAACAATAAACAGCCGGTATTGACTTAGGTACGTGGAGGTGTCGTGGTATAGTGGTTAATTCACTTGGTACTCAATCTAAGGGTCGAGGGTTCGAATCACAGCCCGGTACCCACGTCCTAATTTGGCAAGACTTTAAACCACAATTGCCACTCTCCGCGCGTACCTGGCAATTCCTGTGTAATAAAGATCGAAAGATCTGCAAGAAGAACAGCATTGATGCTGATGAGGGTTCCTTGGGTAAACAATAATTATTTATTTTTAATTTTACTCAAGAAATATAGTCCGCGTTAATCAGTTTATTCAAAGAAAATCCGAGAAACTTTATTTGAAATTTGCCTTACACACGAATGGTCCTACCATGGTCCTAAACTGACCTACCGCGTGAAGGGCTAAGGGCATGACTAAATTACCATAAACCTATAAGTTAAAGGTAAACACCGGTTTCGGAAACGCCTCCTCTCGAAAAATGAAATGGAAGCTCTTATTACCAATCGTGTGAAAGAATATGTTTTGAATATTACATGATGATAACAAATTTGCCGGGAAACCACCTACTAATTGATATATTTGGTAAATTAGTTTATCTATTGGTATGTGAGAGATAAAAACGCACGTCTCGCGCACGCGTGTGCGTAGTCCCGTATACATATTTCTGTGTACAGTGGCAACAGTACTTGTAACTTTATGAAGACTGGGCCAAATTTCTTATCATTTTGATGATTCCAACCTTGCAGTAATATAGATGATCAACTTTTTCTGATCCATTTCACAACGTTTCTTTCACAATGCAATCGCATGACCATAACTGGTCTTTATCTTTAACTCTAACCGTTACCCTGCAAGG